GGTTTTTGGGTAATTGGTTCCAGCTCACCGAAAATTGCCTAAATTCAACAAAAAAGGTAGAAAAGTTCACTCACTTTGAGGTGTGTATGTGGAAGGCTCCTGGATGATGATGATGATGGGAATTAGAATGGGGGTGGAGGAGAAGGTAGAAGAGAAGGCATTGGGGTGGAAGAGAAGTCACCCCATGGCACCATTTCACCCATAAAATTTTAGTTCTCTTGGTGTATTTCAAGATTATTTTCTTTAAATCAACACTGCACTGCATTATATATTGTCAATATGTAAAATAAATTTCAAAATAACCAATAATTTGCTTGGAAACAGAAAAAAAGCGTTTAGTTGAAGAGTCTCAAGCAAGATGTTACCTCCACTGAAAACAGAGAGAGACTAACGCCTGTCTGGTGTGTTAACAGGCTGGATGGCACGCCAGAAACTAGTTTCTTTACCTTCAATTATGTTCAATAATTGCTAAAATGACTAAAAAGTTAATATTAAACTTTTAAAATTATTGAAAAGTATAAACTTCTTGATATTTACTAAAATAGTAAGGAATTTAAGCCCTAAAACCGATTACTGTATTGGCGGACTAATACTACAGCTGGTGGACCGCCAAATGCAAGCGGAAACATGTTGAAGTCGGCTCGTAAAAAACTCGTTAATCGAGGGATTGCTCGTTAACCGAAGTTAAGAATCTTATGGAAGGTAAATCGTTAACCGAAATCTCGTTAACCGAGGGATCACTGTACCGAGTTCTTCACCCACCACAGCCAGCCCAAGTCAGTGATAGTGAGGATATGGACTTATATGGACTTTGAGGGGTTTGACAAAGAGGCCCTGCAAGCCTATGTGGTGGATAGTGATACAATTGATACAAGTGATACAGGTGAAGGCCAATAATCTGCCCTTTGCCTCGGAACCAACCACCCATCCCCGTGTGCCCAGCCATCTCTTCTACTAACGTAAGTGTTAAAAAACCTAATATTATTGATATTTCTCTTAATTATTAATTGTGTGTGCATACCATCATAAAATTAAGATGTTATTTTTACTACAACGTACGTATTGTGTCGTCAAAAAGTGGAGTTTGGGGGTCGGGCCAGTCTCTATTTGAATTAAACCCATATGTTCTGTTGTTCACTTTACACGGTTTTCACTTTCCGCGGTACCCCATGGGTTCAATTGACCGCATAAATAGGGGTATGTCGTAAGTCGAGGAGTAGCTATATACATTTCTTTGTACACGAGTTACCTGGCTCAGTGGGGGAGCCGTACGGACGTTAATCGTCAGTACAGTACAGAGTAGTTAAAGATCGACCTTTTATATTTACTAAATTATTTCTTAATTAATTAAAAATAATAATAATGTGTTTAAGTAAGCAATAACATATTTTTAATTCTGGAGTTGAGTTAGGTAGAAATTAGCCTAATGGAGACAGCAACTGGGGGATTCATTAGCTTGTGGGAGACCACAACTTCACATATAGGATGTAGGCTGATTTTTTTTTGCCATTTTTCAAACAAAAAAGTGCGTCTTATATGCCGTAAAATAAGGTATTCCTTACATTAACTGGTACTGTATATATCACTTTAAGAAAACTATGGCTACAGGAGCTAAATCCACACAAAAAAATTTTCCTAAATACTCCTTGCTAAAATGTGGGCATCTTATATGCCATAAAATATGGTAGTCATAGGTCGGATGAAGCAGCTAATCTTACGATTATACACTAGAAGTTATTTTCGGAGGTTAGTCTAGGTTCTAAACTCCTGGCTTGAATGGGTAAACATGCAGGACTCACAGGGTGAGTACTTATAAAAAATCCAACAAGGAGGGAAAAATAAAATAAAATACTCTATTTTAAATTAAATAATTTAAGGGCTATTTGATACATCATCTGGAAACCAAAATCCGTTGAAAATATATCAAACAAATTCCCAAACTTTCACAGTGGACATAATCCCAGACCAATATAACACATTGAGGCCCAGACTTAAGTGATGTTTTGCAATATTGTACTGTACAGGTAAACCTCTATTTATGATATCCCAAATCTATGATAATTGGTGTTAATGATGCTGATATTTACACTCTCGGGATCATACACTCATAAATGAAACTTTTGCCTCGTGATCATACACACCACTATCGTGTTTTTTTAATTTTCTCTAAAAGCTTCTCGTCAAATTACTGAAAATTTTAATGCCACCTTTGTCACGCCACTTTTGCGTGGAACCAGTTGCATATACCACACAGAAGCATGTTGTAATATATAGGCCTAGCTTGGAAAAATAATAAGTGATAGTGAAATGTAGTGCAGTAGAGGCATGTATATATGGGTATGGTGAATTATAATAAATATGCTGTGCTAATTTGATATGTATTTTTAATGGCCATCATCACTGTTGTGCATATACCATATGCCAAGGCCTACCTCGCCCAAGTGATAAGTGTAAACATTATTGCCAAATTTTATTTTTTGTCACAGAAACTTTTAACTGGTCTATTTATCTTCATTAGTATATGTACTGTAATAATCCATCATAAAAAAATACTTTAGAAAGATTTTGACCAAAAATTAGCAAGGAACAAAATATGTTTATGAGCATTTTGGCGACTGAGTTCCAAACCAATACTTATTTTTACTTTTTATTCTGTAACTCAGTTACTTGTGACATTATATTTTTTTCTGATGACACCATCATCTTGCTCGTGATTTACTCTTTCTTACAGTGTGTATTTTCTACTGACTGAGGCAATGATGTGGGTACAACATGAAGAGCAAACAACAGTAAATACTCACTTTTCACTTATACTTGCCAAAATGGCTTTTATTTATTTTTTATTTTTTAATTTTGAAGGTTTCATGTGATTTTCCAGCTTTTTTACATAGGAAAGCATCACTTGTGTAAATATGTGATAATATCTTTGTCACTAATAGTGCTCTGGAACAAATATCTTCTCAGCAATTTCTGGTCATTCAGCAGGCTCCAAACAGACTGAGTGACAGATTCATTAAATAAATTTCAGGCAATCCCGAGAGTGTTAAGACCACTTCCCTATTTTAAATGTAAACAAACTCGTATTAACGATTTTTGTCATCCCGCCAACTGGACATATGGAAAGCATCACTCGCTTCATTTATCAGCTGACATCATCTACCCTAACACTGCCTCGTGGCCATCTGGTGAACTACAGTCCAAGCATTGGTTCTTCTTGGTTACATGTGTTTAAGAAATGGAGCTCAATGTTTATCGGTCATCGCTTTTTTTTTGTTCTTTTTTTTTACCTTACAGTGAGAGGACACCACTGAAGTTCACATTGTGCTCTGTTTTAGTGACTGTGAAAATCTTTCACTCTCATCCCCCACCCCGACAATGGGTGACCTGACATTGCACGAGACCACTAATCCCCCACCTCACCTACACAAGACATTGATCAGGTCAGGTCAGTAACATGAGACTCAATAATCCCCTACCACACCTCCATCACAACATTTCCTTTTTTTTCCATAAAAGAATTAAATCCTCATCATTATTGTCATGTTTTTGTGATTGAAGTGAGCAGTGTAAGTCTGAAAATGTCTGGCAAGTGTTTTGTTCACCATATTTAAGGCCAGGACAAAGGTTGCACCTCAGTCCCCACAATTTAGATTCACCAAAGTCTGTGTGGGACTTAGATTTGTGTCTCCAATCCACCTTAAGAGTCCCCTTAGCCTTGAAGGGGACATGTGATGAGGACCAGACTTGTTATTAATGAGGTGGTCTGTGTTGTTTAGCTGTGTTGTAGTTCTAGTAGTATTGTAGGATGTTTCTTTTTTTTTTTCAGGTGATACATATGGGTGTCCGGATGGCCAGGAACCTATCCTATTAAACCCCATGTTATAATGAACCTGAGCGACTGGGTTGTCAGGAACCTAACCCCATCATAAATAAAGGTTTACCTGTACTGTAATATCCAGATTGGCATATCTAAAAATACAGCTACATTATCTATATCTAGATGCTAAGTGTAAGCTGTTGCACATTTTTAGGAAAATTAGGTATAAGATTTGCATATGTTGACACCAAAAGCATTAATGATTGATGGCTGACTTACTGTACCAAAGATTTCTTTGATGTGACAACCATGCAAATTATGTAGAAAATTTACAGATTGTTTACATGAAAAGCAACACAGCTCTTGTTCAGTTACAATACTGTTTCTGCTCAGTATTTTGATAATCAAGCAAATTGACTAGTCATTGTACAAAAAACTTTTACATGCAAAAAATCAAAATGTGCATACAGTAATTAGCATCTAACCTGCACACAGTATGTGGCACTATAGGCAGTGTAGCTCTTGTTCAAACAAAATACCATACCTGCATCATCATTGATCAAAATCACTCTTCAATCAGAGTACCGTCCTCATATCTGAGGGTTGGCAACCACAGTCCCTTACTTTAAACATTCTTGGGTTGTTTTTACCAATCCTCTAAGGTTCTGTACCACTCTGGAGAACCAGTTATTAATTTCATCCATCCATCCCACCTACCCTCAACTTTGTCCATTAATATTTCTCTTATTATCCCCTCATCCCTAATTATGGGCCAAAGTATCTAATTTTTCTTTTTTTTTGTGCATTTTCAGAGTGTTCTCTATAAGTTTCTTCTGACACACACACACACACACACACACACACACACACACACACACACACACACACACACACACACACACACACACACACACACACACACACACACACACACACACACACACACACACACACAACACACACACACACACACACACACACACACACACACACACACACACACACACGAGTTTAGACATGTTTCTACATAAGCTTTAAAGCAAGATATTACTGTACAGTACTTACGGATTGTCCCTCAGAAAACAAGATATGGCTTCAACCAACCACTTTGGGAGAAGCTAAAACCCTTACTCCAGTAAAGTACATTCTAGCATAAACAACTTTAAAACTCAATTTAACTAACCTTGTTGGAGTCTCCATGCCACATGGCTACAACCTCTCCTCTGATTGCAGCCACAATATAGGTGGGGAGGAGAGTGAATGGCACTAAGTATAATAATGCTGGTTGTGCCTCATTCAGTAGCCACAGTGCAATGAATGTCACCACAAGCCCAGTTCCATAGCCTGTAAAACACAAAAAACACAACAAAAAAGATAAAAAATATAACTTCATAAACATTTGTTAAAATTTTTCAAACAATGTGTAAGAGTTCACGTAACTTTGCAAAATAGCAATGTCATCCGTGTTAACTTCAACAATGTTTGAGGTTTATACAGCAACAAACAGCACTGTATTTGATGCTACTGGAGTATGCCTGCATAATTTTACAAGTCAACAGGTTTAGAGTTAGCACATAAAAGCTCACATTATCATACAAACATGGTACCCCCAGGTATGTAAAAATATAAATTTTCTTTTATGGCCCAAAAACCCCATAATGACATAAGAAAACAAGAAATAATAGTAAATGTGGCAACTCGTCTCGTTTATAAGTGTTGTGCAGCATCTAAATCCTGGGCTGGTGCAGTATTGCCAATCCTACACCCTCCCAGTGTTGTCAAAGTACATCTGGTCAGTTTTGCAGCCATGTACAGCATGCCCGGATAATTCGCAAATTTTTATTTCGCGGCTCCTCTATTATTCGTGGATGACATCCTGGATGTACCTAAGAATGTCTGCAGGTAGTTTTAAAGTTGCCGTCAATTATGCGGCCGGTACGGGGAGCGCGCAAGTTTTGTGGCGTCCCGCAAGGTGTCTCTCTTGTCCCGGGAGGCTGGCCCACGCACACCCCCGCTCGCTCCGCCTCCGTCTGGGATAAACACCTGTCCGCCTCGCGCGTGTGCTACTCTGTTCTAGTTACAACTGTGCTCTTCGTACTTGTGATGGCTCCTAAACGCCCTCAACCACCTTCATCCAGTCGCAGGAAGACACCCAAACAAATGAAGAGAGAAAAGAAGGTCATGACCCTAGTGGAGAAGATACAACTGCTGGATAAACTTAGGAGTGGCCAAAGCTTTGCCGCGTGTGGCCGGGAGTATGGAATCAACGAATCAACTGTCCGTTACATTAAGAAGAAAGAGAAGGAAATTCGTAATGCAGCTGCCCTAAGTGCCCCTTCTTCTGCCAGGTCAGCTGCTAATGTGAGGGATACAGCTATGGTGAAGATGGAGAAAGCCCTTAACATCTGGATTGAGGACTTTAACTGCCACCACATCCCTCTCAGCCAGAATCTTATCTGTGACAAATCCAAGGTTCTGTATGACCGATTTCATGCTGAGGAAGGTGTTGAAGGTGAAGTGAGTGGTGAAGGTGGTGCTAGTACTGGTGGTTCTGGTGATACCAAAAAGAAAGGTTTTAATGCCAGTAAGGGGTGGTTTGGGCATTTCAAGAAGCACTTCAACCTGCACAACTTAAGGATCACTGGTGAGTCAGCCTTAGCGGATGAAGTAGCAGCAAGGGAGTATCCTGCAATCTTCGCCGAGAGTATCTGGGAGAAGGGCTACAAGCCGGAGCAGGTTTTTAATGCTGATGAAACTGGCTTGTGGTGGAAGAAGATGCCAGCCAGGACATTCATTTCCAAGGAGGAATGGAGTGCACCGGGCTTCAAGGTGGCCAAAGATCGTGTCTCTCTCCTGTTATGTGGCAACACTGCAGGACACATGATCAAGCCCATGCTGCTGTACCGTGCCAAGCGTCCGCATGCACTCAAGAATAAAGACATGCACCTCCTCCCAGTTTTCTACCGCCACAACAAGAAAGCCTGGATGATGGCAGTGTTATTCACCAACTGGTTTCACAACTGTTTTGTGAGGGAGGTCAAGGATTACCTGCAGGAGAAAGACCTGGAGTTTAAGGTCCTTCTCATGATCGACAACTGCCCTGGCCACCCCAAGTCCCTCAAGGTTGCAAACAAAGTGCCGAGGTGATCTTTCTGCCCAAGAACACAACATCATTGCTCCAACCACTCAACCATAGAGTCATTGCTGTCTTCAAGGCCAAGTGCATGACCCACATCTTCAGCAGGAAATGGCAGGCCTTGGACAAGGACACACTGGATGGTGCCGAGCCAGAGCGAGAAATGTGGAAGAAGTTCTCCATTGCAGACTGCATCTCCTTCATCCAGCAGTACCATGATGACCTGTGTTAACTCCTGCTGGAGGGTCTTGTTGCCAAAGGTGGTGAACGACTTTGCTGGCTTCCCCAGTCGACGAGTATGTGCAGCACATCGTCCAGCTTGCCCGTCAAGTGGAAGGTGAGGGGTTCAACGACCTTCAGGAGGAAGAAGTGCAAGAGGAGCTCCATGGTCATGCTGGAGAAGAGCTGACTGAGGAAGAGCTGGCCGAGCTTGTCAAGAAGCAGCGTCGTGAGGATGAGGAGGAGGAACAAGAAGAAGGTGAAGGGAGGAGGTGTCCACCTTAACCGTCAGGAGCCTCAACAGGTGCTTGCTGGCTAGTTGAGCACTCGTGCACATGTTTTTTTTTATGCCAATCCCTCTATTGAGAGAGCAGTCAACTTCAAGAGAGGGATGGAGCAGCTCCTGATTCCTTATAAGGAAATACTAAAGGAACCTAAGTGCAAGGTTGCCCACCCTCCAATCTCTGTGTTCTTCTTGCCATCATCCACTCCAAGCACTACACCTTCTACACCTGCAAGAAAGCCTCAGCCTCCTGTCCGTGTACCTCCTCCTCCGGACTCTGATTCCGACATGGACAACCCTCCTCCTGCTGCTCCCAGCTCTGACCACTCTCCTCTGCCTCCTCTTCCAAAGCAGATGAGGAGAACTTGTAACTCCCCTGCCTTCATCATTTTCATCATGATATTCATCAGTGGCAGGGGAGAGGAAAATGGGCTCTACACAAACAGCCATCAAAAAGCAGTGAGTGTTAATCTGTTTCTTTATAACAGTTGTCTTTTTTTGCTTGTGGGAATATTAATTCATTTACTCTAGTAATGATACAATGTTTTTTATTAAGTTATAGTAGGAAAATGAATGGTTTATATAATTTGTTTATCACCGAGCCTGTACCATTATCATAGCAGACTACAAAATATGTTTATCTCCCATACGTACGCCTGGCTATGCATGGTATCTCCCATACATACTCCTGGCAACAGGGGGTCGGGTAAGGGGAGTGATTGACTGCTGGTTAGCGCATCGTCTGCAGTTTTAACTCTCCTCCCTCCATGCCATATTTCACTGGATTTACTGTTATTAATAGTGTTTACTGATAGAATAGTGCTTAACAGTGATTAAACATGTAATTGTAGCTAGGTTAGCTCATCATTGTAACCACCAGGCTACTGAGCCAAACTTTGAGGTGTTATGGTTTTTTCAACTCGTATTTTTGGTTAAATATATGTAAGCTTCTTCATTTATTTTTACTCATTTATATGCACACACCATCCTACAGTACATACTGTGAAAAAGTGTACAGTATAACACCACAATTACTGACATCCTTCATGTTAGGTTGACTAGATGGCTACGAAAGAAATTCTGTAAGTTTGATCTACGTATCAACCCAGCTGGTGCTGGCACCTTATGGCAACTCTACCAACTCAACTTTAATAACAAAGCACGCACTTGACTTGAGGGTAGACTCGCATTTTTCCGATGTTACATTTTGTTGTTGTGTTTCTTATTATGGTATTTGTGAGAGGACTTCCCCATTATTATTTTTTGTATGCATTTTAATAATAATAATAATAACAATTAACGGTTTATTGAAAGAGCATGGTAGCTGGAAGGCTGAAAATAAACAGTTACATAATTGAGGAATGGATCTCTTGATTGACAAATAACATAAATGATACAAATATAATATATAATAATTAAGTGGGGAGAAAGTTAAACTATAGGGCATTTTGACATAGTGAAAGTGCAAAAATGTAAGATTGAATGGGAGTGAATACATACACTGGTTGCTTGAAAGTTATTGATAATTTTTATAATAATCTCTCTCCAAGGTCACTGCGCAGCTCACTCTCGCTCATTCAAACTAACTGGCATAAACAAAAAACACTCAGCAGGTCGGAGGATAACAAAAGACCGCGACAATGCGGGCTGTCCACTCTCCAATGACTCGCCAATGCGGGCTGTCCACTCTCCAATGACTCGCAAAACTGGTCATGAAAATCGCCATTCTTGAGAGGCTGGAAATTTCAAGTGACACGAAACATATGAATCGCGAATCTAAGACTCGCTAAACTTGAGATCCTACTGTACAGGTAGTAGGTAGTAGGTAGCAAGCAGCTACCAAACAGGGAGGTACTACCACCTGGGAAGATATTGGAAGCATAATGTGTTGTCTAATGGTAGACCCTGCTGCCATATGGCAACATGAAAATTGTGACCAAGTCCCAGGTTGCTGATCTGATTTTCTAGCTCATTTACACACAATTTCTCAATTGTTTCTCTTACCACTGACAACACAACATAAATATATTGTTTCTCACTCTTGATTTTTTTTTCATTTTTGCATTTCTTTATGGTTCTTTAGTATTATTATTATTATTATTATTATTATTATTATTATTATTATTATTATTATTATTATTATTATTATTACATTTTTGCCTCCTAGGCCCCGATGTGGGTCAGTGACATGTGCCCGAGTAGGCTAATCCCCGTGTAAAAAAAAAAAAAAAAATGCTATTTCTGCACACTATAATGCAATAATTAATGCAAGAAGTAACAATAATGAGAAAACACTCACCAATCAGATTCACTAGATAGTAGAGTCGGCAAGGAGTGCCAACTCGAAGATCAAACGAATGAACAAAGGACACTAGGAGGCCTGGGATAAGGATGTCACCAAAGCCAAGGAGGTTGAAGTTATCAGTGAGCTGACAGATAGTGGAGATCTCAAGGTATGCAAGGTTTGGAACCTTGAGTACCATAGGCAGCTGTTCCTTGCTTGCTCCACCTTTAGCAACTTCTACCATAATGCTCTGCCCATCCTGTTTGTGTAAAGAGAAAGGGATTATGCAAAACTGTAACATAAAAACCCAAAAAAATCAGTAATGAACACAAAATTTGGGTTCTCAAATGACTTGAAATACCATTTGAGATCCCCTTTTCTCCAGTGGTAATTATTGGTAGTTTCCATAAACATAATATTTTTTCATAACACACTCAGCAATATACAGTAGCTGCCTGGAAATATTTTCCCCTTAAATTTTCATTTCATGGAAATCTTATGAAAATTAATCAGCGTACTGTATTACAAATAATGTATATTTCTGTCTTAAAAAGCAAGAACATACACTCATACAGATTCCCCCCTCTTTTTTTTTATTCCTTCATTTAAACTTGGCCTAGTCGATAGAGTTCTCACTTCCTGTCCTTAGGGTCATTCATTCAACCCCAGGGCACTCACACTACACCCAGCTGTAAATGGGTACCTAACTACTCAAGCTCGGAAGCTGAAAGCAGTTGAGTGACATGCTGGCCATACTGCCTAATGGGCAGTAATGCCAAATGAACACTTTTCTTCTTGTACTTATACTATATAGCTATAAAAGATGTGTTATAATAATATTCCCCCTCTAAACCTACTGGAGGTCCCAAAACAATCACAATACTGTACTGTACTGTATTGTCCAAAGTTCTCCCCAATAATTGAGGATGGCCAGTAATATATAAGGCAGAGAGACAAGGACCACATGAACTAACAGTGTTAACTTATTCCATAACATTTTAATGCTGTCACTATGCTGTTGCTGCTTGCACAGATAAACATTTGCAGTACACTGCAAAATTTATGTTTTTATTATTATTTTATCAAATATAAAATATATTTTACCTTTCTTTGTCTGATCTGATCTAACCTGATTCCAACAGTATATGTGTAAATCTCAAAGGACAATTACCTTCAATGGATATCATAAAATCATTACCTCTCTTCAAGAACCGTTTAAAACTGAGTGAAACGTATAAGTAAACTGACTTAATTGAAAAGTCTATATGATTGACCCACACACAAAGAAGTCCACTCACCGATGTAATGAATGGGGTGATGAACACAAAAAAGATGTCATATATAACAAGGCCACAGAGAAGGATGGTGCAGATCTTGAGACTTGGCAAACGAATCATCCTCAGCATGTTAATGCTGAAAATTATTATTAACAATTAAGTTAACAACTCCACTAGGACAAAATTCATAGCAATAACAGACCCCAGTTTACAAGCCCTAAGTTTCAATTGCAGTATTACTTAAAAAGACCTCAAATTAAAACTATCTCCTAATACAGGTAAACTCTATTTGAGATGGGGTTAGGTTCCTGAAAACCAACCACATGTCGAAATATCTTAAATTAGGTTCATTATAACATGGGGTTTAATAGGATGGGTTCCTGGCCATCCGGACACCCATATGTATCACCTGAAAAAAAAAAAGAAACATCCTACAATACTACTAGAACTACAACACAGTTAAACAACACAGACCACCTCATTAATAACAAGTCTGGTCCTCATCACATGTCCCCTTCAAGGCTAAGGGGACTCTTAAGGTGGATTGGAGACACAAATCTAAGTCCCACACAGATTTTGGCGAGTCTAAATTGTGGGGACTGGAGGTGCAGCCTTTGTCCTGGCCTTAAATATGGTGAACAAAACACTTGCCAGACATTTCCAGACTTACACTGCTCACTTCAATCACAAAAACATAATAATGATGGGGACTCAATTCAATTTCAATTTCAATTGTTTATTCCTTGATAGAGGAAGCAGGATCCTAGTGCTGTCACTAGGTACCCCTGTACAATAACACCAGAAGCATCTGGCAAGTGTGACAAGTATATACAGTATAAATATTATAAAGCAGCTTACTAAAGCCTAAGGAAGGAAGGATAATCCTTTAACACATCATCAATATTATTTACATAATATCTGGCCAGTATAGGGAGTGGTGGTCCAGCAGGCGTCACAGAAGCGGTATGTGTGTGTGGGGACATCTTAAGAGGTAGTGGATAAGGGTGCTGCTGTCGGGTCTTTTGCATAATGCACAAGAGCGTTGCTCAGAGGATGCGGGGATACCAATCTCCCAAGCAAAGTCATACCCAGTGATGATACCGGCAGCAATCACGTCCCTTTTCCGCGATCCTTTCCCATAGACATACGAGAGGTCAGGAAGTTTACGGAGGACATCGTAACAGGAGGGCTGGCTGCTTCCCGAGTTTCTCTCTCTTTGCGGCGAATTTGGGTCATAAGCTGTAAAAGTGTTCAAGGAACAACGTAGTCAGGTGTGGCCTTGTTGCAGCCAGTCTTGGCAAGGCCATCTGCTGCCTCATTCCCCAAGATACCGACATGACTGGGTATCCATAAGAATGTCACAGAACGGCCTACATTCTGAAGTGTGGATGTTAACCCTCGTATTCGGAGGATGAGGTCCTTATTTTCCCCTGATCCAAATGCGATCCCGTCGAGAGCAGACCTGGAATCGCAGCAGACAAGCAAGGGGCAGAAACCATCTGCTTCTTCCTCAGCGAGAAGGGCAGCAAGGAGGGCTATTAGTTCAGCCTGAGTGGAGAATGCCCCGTCAGAAACTCTGAGAGAAAGTTTGATTGGCTCAGGGGCATCAGGACGGGAGATGTAGACACCAGCCCCAGCCCGAACTGTAGTGGAGTCAACAGAGCCATCAGTGTAGAGGACGACCCTACCTGGGGACCAGTGGGCGATCCTGGAGAGGTGGTATTTGCAGATATTAACAGGGTTCACGTCGGATTTCGGGAGCGGTCCACCGAGGGCAATCACTTCAGGTTGAAAATCCAGCCAGGGAGAAGGAGACGAACCAACAGCAATATCAGACAAGAGGTCATGTTCCTGAAGGGCTCGGATGAGTGACCCTCGCCACTGTCTTCTAGATGAAAGTCGGCCTCGGACAGCAGGAGTCAAGTTGGCTTGGACATAGTTGCCCCGAGGATCCGGTAGAATGGAAACGGTAGTTTTTAGGTAAAACTCCTGGACACGATCCTGTAAGGGGGAAAGACCAGGTTCGGTATATAGAGAAGTAGGAGCCCCAAGGATGATACAAGCAGCTTTCCTCTGGATAACTTCGAGATGGTTGACAGCAGACTGACTAATGTTGACGAGGGCAGGGGCGGCGTAGTCGACACAGGAACGGACAAAGGACTTGTACATGGTGAGAAGTACAGGGATGGTGGCACCAAGGGAACCCCTGCACATGGTAGAGAGGGGAGCGAGACATCGAAAGCATATGTCTCGAAGACAGCGGACTTCAGGGATCTGACAACGTGTGCGAGTTACATACACACCCAGGTATTTTGTCTCATTAACCCAGTCCAAGGGCGTTCCAGATAAAAGAAGGGGTGGAGGTACAACACGACCGTGCCACATGGCTTTTGTTTTCGCAGTTGAAAGAAGGAAACCAAGTGAATCACACTCTGGAGACCAGATCAAGGGCTTCCTGCATGCTGAAGTAGTCAGGGGCTTGGAGGAGGACATCGTCGGCATATCCTGAGTGGACAACTTCTGTCGGCCACGGGAGAGATGCAATGGAGTGCATGAGAATGTTAAACAAGGTGGGAATCAGGTCTCCATCTTGAGGGGTGCCGAGGTTCATTTCTTGAACGGGAGATATAGAGCTTTTAACGTGAACCCAGGCCTGACGTCCAGTGAGGTAAGAGGCGATCCACTGAAGAAGTCTCCCTTTAACCCCTAACAGCACAAGTTCAGCTAAAATGAGGGCAGGCTGAGCCGTATCAAAGGCTCCCTTGATATCAAGGAAGACGGAGATGCGGGCAGTCTGATTGCAATAAAAGGAAGCAATGGAGTGTGCTGTGCTGTGATGTTGAATGAAACCATTGAGGGAGTTGTGGAAGCCGCCTATGGTGTGAAGAAGGCGACGATGGAGCATCCTCTCCATCATCTTGCAAACACAGGAGGTAAGACTAATGGGTCGATATTTCCCAGGGTCTCCCGGCTTAGGGATGGGGATAATAGTGTCATTTTTCCAGTTAGACGGGAGAACCCCATGTTCATAAGACATATTGTAGAGAGCAAGCAAGGGGCCGTTAGGAAAATTAGTACAGTGGTCCCTCGGTTAACGAACGCCTCGGTCAACGAAATTTCGGTTAACAAAACCTTCCATAAGAATCTTCATTTCGGTTAACGAACAAAAATTTGGTTAACGAAATTCTTACGAAAATGTTTCAACACGCTTTGGCTTGCTCACCAGCTGGAAGATTAGTCCGCCAATACAGAAATTGGTTCTAGGGCTGACATTCGTTAAAATTGGAGTAAATATCAAGAAGGTTGTACTGTTCAATAATTTTTCCAAGTCTTATATTAAAATTTTTAGTAATTTTAACACTTATTTAACATAATTGCAGTACAGAGAACTAGTTTTTGGTGCACCCTTCAGCCACTCCACTCACCCACCAAGGCCTCAGTTTGTATCTCTGTTCAGTGGAGGAAACATCTTGCTTGTGGGTCTCTTGAACACAGAGTAATTTTATGTTTTTACAGTACAATTATTGGTCATTCTGAAATTTATTTAACATACTGACAATATATAGTGCAGTGCAGTGTTGATTTAAAGAAAATAATCTTGAATTACACCAAGTGAACTTAAAATTTTATGGGTGAATTGACGGCATCAAGCATGGGGTGATTTCTCCTCCACCCCCACTTCCTTCTCTTCTCCCTTCTCCTCCACCCCCACTTCTAATTCCCATCATCATCATCAACCAGGAGCCTTCTACATACACACCTCAAAGTAAGTGTACTTTACTGCATTTATTTTTACTTTGTATGTAATTTTCGGTGAGCTGGAACAAATTACCCAAAATCCCATTGAAACAATGGTTTCGGTTAACAAACGACCTTCTGGAACGAATTGTGTTCATTAACCGAGGGACCACTGTACAGTTAATATTAAACATTAAGAATTGCAGAAATAATTTATGTAATATTTATGTATAGTACAGTGGGGTATGCTATAACGAATCTAATTGGTTCTAGAACCTTGTTCGTTATAGCATTCGTTCGTTATAGGATTAATCCGTTCCAGGCCCCCAAATACAACCACTTAACACTGAAAAATATAATATAAAATTGTAAAAATTGTAAAAAAGTGCAGAAATATGCATCTAAACCCTTGAAATAAAGAATATCATTAATATTTGTAATAAAAAAACAATAAATTAGAAAAAAAAAAAAAATTAAATAATGTTCGTTGTAGGAGTTTCGTTCGTTATAGCATTCTCAATTTTATAGGTAAAACCGTTCGTTATAGTAATATTCATAGTAGGATCCGTTCGTTATAGCATACTCCACTGTATATGTAAATTGTAAAATTTTAAATAAAAGAGAAAAAAATAGTGTTTTACATCCGCGCTGTCTGTCTCCATCACACGATCAGTTGAAACACGTGTGTTGTTTTGAATCGTCCTCAGTGATTTTTGCTTACTATGTCTCCAATTTTGTGTTATTAACTGTGAATATGGAAAAGAAGAATATCTCCAAGAAGCGTTCTGGTGGTCGCATTCCCGGTGGTGATCATAAAAGAAAGGCTATAACACTTGAAGAGAAGCTTGATGTTATCAAGCGTTTTGAACGTAAGGAAAGAACACATGATATTGTGCGTGCAACGGGAATAAAGGAGTCTACTTTACGCACCATTAGAGACAATGCACGAAAGATTAAAGCAAGCTGTATTGCTGGAAAAAGCTTGAGTGCTAGCAAAAGTGTGAGATCACGGCCAAAGGAGCTTGAGGCGATGGAACAGCTTCTAAGTGATTAGATAGAAGATCAAACGAAAAAGCGATCTGGGACCAGCTTTCTCACCGTTAAAGAGAAAGCCTTATCAATATATGAGGACCTAAAGAAAAAGACTGAAAATCCTGCTGATGTGATTGCCTTTAGTGCTAGTAGCAGATGGTTTTCTGGTTTTAAGAACCACTACCTATGCATTTCACAATGTAAAGTTATATGGTGAAGCAGCCAATGCCGACGAAGAAAGTGCGCGGACATTTCCTCCCACTGTGAAGAAATTGATTCAGGAAGAAGGCTACACCTTAGACCAAATTTTTAATTTGGATGAAATGGGTTATACTGGAAGCGCATGCCAAAGAGAACTTACATTTC